GCGTAACCGCAGCGCCACTCTCGGCTCTCGAGCGACCTCGACCACGTGGAGGCGGGGGAGAAAAAGAGGCCCCGGGAAATGGGAAAAAAAAATGCCCTGGCAAGCATCCTCCTCCCATTCTCTCCCCCCCCCTCCGCCGCCCCCCCCCAGCCAGACACATCTGAGAGATTCTTAGATAGGGTGGGGAGAGGAGAAAGAAGCCATTTTATTTTTAGCAACCGCCTGGCCGTGGCTCATCCGAGTTTCCCTTCTCCCGGGTACTTTAAAAATAAATAAATCTAATGTCAACATAATGGGCCTTTCGGGACCTTCAGAACCCTCCCATCCTAAAGAGTGCCCTTTGAGGAGATTGGAGCCCAGTGGTGGGATTAATTACCCTCTGAACTCAGCGCCACAGATATTTCAGGCCAAGCAAGAGACTTCATCACCCAAGGAAACCCTCCTGTGACCAACCCAGAAGTTGGTGGTGGAAGCGAAGGAACCTAAGATGGAGACGACTGCCCTGTGGCTGTGGTTAAATCTGTTCTCTGGCAGTGCCGGCCTTGCCTTTAGGCAATGTGAAGAAGAAACCTCAAAGGGCAGGTTAGGAGGGATCAGCAGTGATGGTTCCCTAGCTGTTCTTCGGGAGCAACCTAGGTGTCCCTCTTTGTAGAAGGGCATGCCCTAACTTGATCCCCTAAATTGGCCAAAGCTGGGGTTTCATGCGGCACACTTGAGCATGGACACGCAGATTCAGACTGTGTGTCTGAATCTGTGAGAGAGGTACCGTTACCACAGGCCCTACTGATATGACTTCATTACAGCAGCTGCCGGTGGGGCCAGTTTCTGAGGGGTTGTGCTTCCACTCAGGACTTTAATCTGCACTTTACAAAGGTTATCCAAAACGCTAAGCATATTGTAGGAATGAGGTTCAGCACCTTGGAGAGCTTCCTTAGAGTGCACACCAAAACGGAGATGTGACCACCTCTCGCCAATCCTGGCATGTCTGCATTGGCTCCCTGTATGCTTCCATGCCAAATTCAAAGCGCTTGTATTAACCAATACAGCTGTTAATTGTTTGGGACTTCATTACCTGATGGAGCATCTCTCCTAAGACTGACCACCTGAGCCAGCCATGTGTTGCGTTTGTGGGTGACTACCCGTAGTGAGGCCCAGAAAACAACCACCAGGCATTTCTTGGTGGTGGCCGCAAGGCTATGGAATGTGCTTCCTGTGAATAAATGCCAAGCTGTCTCCCTCCCAACCTTTAGAAAATGGGTGAAAACAATATTGTTTGTAGAAACCTTTGGAAATATCTTACTCCTGTGACATCCTTGTGGCTCCGTTAATTGATTACTGAGTTTGGTTTGCCATCCAGGCTTCTTTCTTTTTTGGACATTTGGGGTTATTAATGTTTGTCTGGTTCTCTTTATATATGTCCTTGTGGGCAAGGATGGGTAGTCGTGTTTTTGTGTTAGCCACTCAGAGTGGTGCTTAGGTACTAGATGGGCGGGGAAGGAAGGAAGGAAGCAAGCAAGGGATTCATAGCACCCCTAAAACTAGAGTCACCAGCAGCCATTGCTTCATTCTTACAACATCAGTGTGCAAAGCAGCATATATGGCATGCCATAATGCCCAAGTTCAGTACGCAAACTTCCTAGTTGAGTGGAAGTTTGAAACTGTGTCCCTGGTAATCCCAGACCATCATTCTAATTGCTACAACACTGTCTTTGTATTTATTTGTTTATTCGTTAATTGTATATCCCCTCTTTTCTTGAAAAAACGTGAAATTGTGTTCCTAGTTACTCCACCCTCTGCTTTTGACTTCGCAACAATCCTGTGTGGTAAGTTGGGTTGAAAGATAACAATTGCCCCTCGGTCACCAAGTCAGCATTGTGCCTAAGCGAGGGTTTAAACCTAGGTCTTTCCCCAGTCCTGTTCACACTAACAGGCATCCTTAACTGAGTATTTGCTGTCTGATAGCCCAGTGGTTTAGGGGTCTGGCTGTGGAGTCAGAGGTTGGGAGTTTGATTCCGCCCTGTGCATCCCCCAAAGAGCCAGCCTGTTGAGGCCTTGGGCAAACTGCACAGTCCCAGGGTGTCCCCTGAAGATGGGAATGATAAATTGCTTCCGAGTATTATCCTACCTGGAAAACCCTGAAAAGGGCCGTCATAGGTCAGAACTGACTTGAAGGCACATGATGATTATTATGGGATTGGCAAAACAGGGACAAAGAGAAAGAGAGTGCTATGGGATTGCCAAGTGGAGAGATTTGGACATGGGGGGGGAGGCGAAGAAGACAATGTAACATAGGGAAGGTGGGACAAGAAAGACAATGCATGATTTGGGGCGTGGGCACTCTGAAGACCTGAGCTTGGTGGATGGCATGGGGGTGGTTGTTCCAGGCAGAGTCACCAGCCTAACAGAAGGCACAGAGGTGGGAGTGGGAGGGGGTTGGCGGCGGCAGCTGAACTTGTGTGAGAACACAACTGAGGGGAGAGAAGAGTGATGCAAAAGTAGAGGCATCATCCTTAGGTGTGAGCAAACTGGTGTTCTGTGGCTGGAACTGTTTGGAACGGCTACATCCGTAGTCAGACTAGTCACGATACTCTGCAAGTTCTGATAAGAAAGGAACAAGATGCCAATGGCTGGGATTAGTATCTGTACTGTATTGCCACAGTTAAAAATAAATTCAAATCAAGGATGCACAATGTTTTCAGTGTGTGGACAGCACACTCGTAAATATACCCACACTGTAACCACACATACATTTCCACAACCTAAAAAGAAGAAAAGGCGCATGTTACCTCTTTTTTTGGACCTCAAGTCTCTGAATGTCCCAGCCCATGCTCTAGTATCTATGCTAATCAGAGGATTCTAGGATCTGTAAGGGGCTACGTTATCTAAACTCTGCACACATTTCCACACCACACATCTTAATATGTCTCCCTTCCCCTTCCCCCTGTCTTCACCCAGATCTGCTACTATTAACAGTAGGAAAGCATTGGTCTTAGAAACCAGGGAAGAGGTGTTCCCTCCCGCACACTTGTCCACAGACAAATTATGGTGGGTCTAGTTTCATTAGCTCTTGTGTTACACATTGTGCAGCCATGAGCCATAGGTTGTGCTCCCTTGGTGTAAATGATGCTTCACAGATTAAGATAAAGCAGGAAGAAAAATATGAAGAGGATTGCTTCATTCAAAAGTCTTATCCATGTAATATAGACATCCTTCAGTATCAAGACTGTGGTAACCTGCTCTGAATAGAGGCCTTGGAACAACATCTAATGTGGCTGAGAAGGCCAATTCAAGAGTGACAATCCCTTCCACATTGGAGACAAATATAATCTGTCCCCTGTCCAGCTCCCTGATTTTGCTGGTTTCAGGACTGCCTCTTTGCCTTGGCCTGCTGAGCAAGTGTCTCTTCAAATCGGGATAGGCCATGATGCCCCCCCTGCCTCCAGGCTGAATGCTCAGACGTCAAGGTTTCCCAGCTGTTGAGGTCCATTCCTAAGGCCGTCAGATCCCGCTTGCAGATATCCTTGTATCGCCGCTGTGGTCTCCCTCTGGGGCGCTTTCCCTGCACTAATTCTCCATACAGGAGATCTGTTGGAATCCGACCATCAGCCATTCTCACGCCATGCCCAAGCCAACACTGATGTTGCTGTTTCAATAATGTATACATGCTAACACTTCCAGCTCATTCTAGGACTACTCTATTTGGAAGTTTGTCCTGCCAGGTGATACAAAAATGCGTCGGAGACAACACACATGAAACGTGTTCAGCTTCCTCTCCTGCCGTGCACAAAGGGTCCAGGACTCACTGCAGAACAGGAATGGGCTCAGGACACAGGCTCTATAGACCTGGATATGCTGCCAGCTTCTTATTAAGCCATATTCTCTTTCTGAGTCTAGAGAACAGGGTAGCTGTTTTGCCAATGTGTTTATCCAGCTCGACATCTAGAGAGAGTGTGTCAGAGATCATTGACCCAAGGTACACAAAGTCATGAACAACCTCCAATTCTTGTGTAGAGATGGTAATAGAGGGAGGTGATTCCACGCCCTGGCCCATGACTTGTGTTTTCTTCAGGCTGATTGTTAATCCATAGTCTTGGGAGGCCTTCCTAAAACGATTCATAAGTTGTTGGAGGTCTTCGGCAGAATGGGCAACAACAGCTGCATCATTGGCAAAGATAAAGTCCTGCATGCATTTCGGCTGGACTTCGGTCTTCGTTCTCAATCTAAAGAGATTAAAGAGCTTTCCATCTGATCTCGTCCTAGATCAAAGGTCTTATTACAGCTGCACAATAGTGCAACTATGTTATGGTACAGCAGAGCATATCAACATTCTAGAAGGCAATTCTAAAAATGGGGGCAGGCCAAAGAAAATGTGTAACTTTAAAAATGGACTTCAGATCACCACAGGCATAGGAGGTAGTCTGTTT